AGAGCGTCTGCCACAGCACCAGGACAGAGCTCTCTCTGCCATCCATTTAAACGCAGCTCAGTGGTGAAGGTACTTCACCAGGAGTCAAGTTGCAGGTTGGGGCCAGAGAGGACAGTTTTTATCCCACTGCACAGTCTGATCAAAACCTGTATGGGAACAAGGACGTCAATTCCCCAGTTGGGATCCGCAAGTCACTGACAGGCCGTAAGGCCACGGTGGGTAGCAGCTGATGTGTGGGAGAGGATAGCCATAAATATGTAGGGTGAAGGATAATTATTAACTGATAACGTTTCTTGATTCAATTAATGTGAGAAATAGAATTTGGATCTTTAGTTACACATGCAAGACCAGCTGAGCTAGGAAACCACGAGATCAAAGCCTCAGTGGGTGGCGAGACAAATAGCAACACAGCAATTCATACCCTGCTAACTGAAAAATAAGTGACCTGACACATTTCATCCAGGTAAGTAACAGAAACCCGTAAGCTGGCAGCTTGTTGCTCACCACAACAGAACAGCCTGAAATTTCAAGTCTTCTCTTTCAAGTCTTTTCTTCTCAGGTGGCAGCAGCCAGTCTTTCCCCTTTCTCACAGAGCTCCAGCCTGTGAAGTCATAAATGGACAAAGCCAGAGGGGATGAGAGCTGCTGAAATCAGCATTACAAGGGCCATTCCCTCCAAAGGTCGCTTTTAGGTCTGCCTGCTCTGTGGAGTACAGCTGTGCCCAAACTTCACGCAGCAATCTACGCCTTCTTGGACTGGAAAATAATAAATCAATAAATATTTTACTATTTAGTCTCTTGGCAACGCTCACGCTGCCATCGCATTTAGGTACGGTCCCCTCGTGTCCGATGAGACAATGGCACAAGGCCCTGCAGGAGTGCCGCTCCCAAAGGCTGCGACGACAGCCTGGATGAGGCGGGCTCAACGCAAACACCGTCAAGTTTGCCCATACTAACCCTCCTACTGCTGTGCGTATTTTCCGTAGATTCTGTTACCAAAACTAGGTGGTCTTCTTCCAAAGCCATGTCCGTCCTTCTCACGGGTAGAGGCCTTCTCTGTACCGGTAAGCACCCCGTGAAAGCAGCGGCCGACTTTGCTGCTACTGGCCAACTTCCTTCTGAAATGCTTAAAAGGTCTGTAAGAAACAAACCCGAATTGCTGATGGAGCACGAAGACAAGCACCCTTTGAAAACTGCTTCTCTGGCAAAGCACCAACATTTCTGTGTTTTTAGAGACGCTAAGAAGGAAAATGCATGAATACTTTTTTTTTTTTAATTTATTTTTAGAAAAAAAAAATCACAATGTTGATAGGAGGTTTTAATAAGTAATTTTCAGGCTTGCAAAAGCTAAAGTATTCAAGAGTCTGGTTAGCTAAAAGCTACTTTGAGCTTGCCCCGCTATTCTACCCTTACCAAACACTGGCTTATTTCTGTTTTCTCTACACTTGGCACTGATAGGAGATACCTGTTTATTCACGCAGGTCAGCGGTACGTCTCATTTCTTCGTATTTACACGGATCAAATGTTTCCATAAAAATCACTTTTCCACCCTCAGAAACACTTAAAGGTTTCAGCACTTTTATACTAAAAGCAGAAGCGGGGCAAAAGGAGGTTTACAAATTAATTCCATAACAAAAATACTATAATCTGTGTAAAGCTTTGTTGCAAGCTAGGAAACATGTACAAGAAATTCTTAAATGAATTATCCTTGGCATGCATCCATATTTGAATGCACAGATATATTTACATGTTTAATATCCAAATTCATAATGACTTCTGGGAAGTTCCACGAAATGTTACCTTTCTGCAGAACTTTGCCAGGCGGCTGAAAAAGATTAGTAAGACACACTGTAAAACTGCATGAAAATTGGAAACAGTTATAACAAAAGCCAACACAACTGGTCAGACGGTTCCTCCCAGACAGTTGTTATTCCAGATTTAGTCCTTTAGCTGTTAGGAATTGCTGTTTTTCATGTTTCCACAGATCCTTGAAACCTTCCTGTGGCTTTCAGGAGCCACAGCAAAGCTCACAAGTGCCTCAGGTGAGGACGCAATCATAGGTGCTCATCCCGATGGCGATCCTCCACAAGCCCAGAAGAATTCTTCACACGTATGCTGTTTCTGCTGCTCAAAGGATGCTTGTGGAGTGAGGCTGGCTTGTTCTGGTCAGCCATGTACTTGCAGTACTGTTACGGTCTTTTGAATTCAGAAGGCTTATCGCACTTAAAAGATCACATTATTTTCTGGTAAGTTTTTGGTTACAGAAACCTGACAATGTTAATCCCAGCTCCCCAATACTTCATCCACAACTGTTCTGACAACTGCCAAATGTCCACCTTGCCGGATGCACAAAATCCAAGTACGGTCCTGATTTGCACATCAGACTTACCCACATCTGACCAGCTCAGTACTTGCTAAGCAGAAAGAGCCATAAAGGATGAAGGGTCTGTGTGCACTAGTTTGGGAATTCTGAATCTGTACCAGACAGATGCAACCAAAAAAAAAAAAAAAGGCAAAAACAAAACTGGATTTCTGTCTCTTGGATGCTCAAGAACAAGAATCTCTCCCCCAGTGGGTGACCCAGGCAGCTACATAGATTGTACCAGCATCACCCACACCCAGATCCATCATTATCCACACACCATGAGCCATTCGCTTTCAGGTGCCCAAGCTGGTTGGTTGGTACACTCACTGCGTACAGGATATTGAAAAACAACACGTTTGCACCTCCTGAAAGCAATGGCTTAACATGAATTGCTTATTGTTTCTGGAGAGGTAAGGAAAAGTTAAACTTACTGAATGCATTTGGGACACACCCGCTTGTCACAGGAGCAAAGGAAAGAATGTGAAGGCACAACATACTTCTACACTCCTGACACTAAGGCCGTATACTGGTGTGCAACAATGCTTCACAGGGCTAACCACACAGAAGTACTCAGGCCTAAGTCACCCTCCCAGAGGTGTTTCAAACAAGAAGAGTTTTCTCATGCAGCTTCGGACTCTGCTGTTTACATTATGCTTATTTTGTTTCTTTTTTTTTTCTTCTGTTTCAGGCAGAACACAGGCTCTCTATCCAGTTTCAATGACCTGTCCTTCATCATGTTTTCTTTAATTCAGTTCTCCAGAAGTGTGCGCTGAACTACAAAGTGAAAAACAACCCAAGATTAGGACACTAAGTTAGTACACATTGTAAATTGCACATTACTACATACCAGTGTATGTGGACAGCAGGCATTTGAAACTGTGGGATAAACTCAGGTAAGCAGAGGCTGGATTCTGTGAAGGCAGTGCCCTGCATACCAAGGGATATTGCTTCCCAGATTTCTCACTCAAATAACCACACTCTACTAGACCCATGTAGCTATATACACTTGAAGGACAACCCAACGTGCAGTTAAAAGACTTGCAGTTTTGCAAATGCAAAAGTGAAACGGAGTACAACTGTCTGCATAAGTGGTAATGAGATCCCCACCAAAAAGTTGATCTTCCATCTAGATTCTTTGCTTACCAGGTGGCTCAGATTGCGCTCCCTGATGGCTTTCCATATTCACATTCTCTTCATCTGCTGGGAAACAGACACATTTAGCATTCAAACTCTTTTACGTTGGAAGTTGCTGGTTAACAGAGATGATTTGAGAGAAGAAACAGCACTGAAGCAGCTACTCACCTCCCGTGAGTTGCCTTTGTGTTGCTGCATGTTCACCTTAACACGCATGGCAGATGTTACTCAGTTTTCAAACTTCCCAAATTACCAAAGAACAGTGCCCACCTGGATGACTGCTCTATCATTTCCCTTCACCAATCAGTCAGAAAGACTAGAAAGACAAAGCTGCTGCCCCACCTATCACACACAGAACTCCCTAAATTCTCTAATCCAAGTTCTAGCTCATTTACGTGGAAAGGAAGCAGATAGGAAGCAATAGGTGACTGCAGAAGAAAGAATCATTTGGGGGTGAACATCTGGGCAGCTGTCAGAAAACTAGTATCTAGGCAAGCACCTCGCGAAGACACAAAGGCAAGATTTACAAAATCAGACCTAACAAAAGTATTTTTCATCACGAAAATAGTCTCTAAACCTCAACCTTCACTCAATTTTCCTTAAAGAAATGCCTTCTCGCAGTATCTCCTGCTCACTCTTTAGCAGGAGCTGCTTTTATTTTAAGAAAAGCAAAGTTTTAGATCCATCTGCTTCTGAAAGCCTAAATTTTGGGTGAGGCTTTACTCAAAACACCCTCTCTTAATTGACAGGTAAGACAGATTACTCCTTGAGAACACAAATTCACTGGGCTATGAAGTCTACCTTATGCATGAGATCAATTTCTAGCCCTCATATAAAACCAAACCCGCATCACTTTTAGAGATTAGAAAACCAAACTAATTTAGAATTCTTACCGCTTTGTTTGAAACAGAGTTTCTTCTTCTGGTAAGCAATGAAACTAGATACTGCTCCAATTACAGTAGCAAGCACAGCGCTTACAATTCCAGCTATTTCTCCCTGAGAAACTGAAGGAGGCGGGGCAGGGGGAGGAAGAAAAAAAACCAAAAAGTTTGCATACATTTTTCAGAATTGAAAGCAATGTCAGACTTGCATTGTCTCAAAGTAAATCCTGTGAAAACTTCCAAAACACAATAAACTGGAATTATTACAAGAAACTGTAGTAATCAACTCTTAGTGTCTTTGTGAATAATGAAAAGTGAATCCTCTAATTGTACGATTTCTTAGCAATGCCCACTGGTAAGCAACTTAAGCATGCCCGCTTTGAGTTCTACTAATTAAAAAAGCCACGCTTTCATAAACCCATCTAAGTTGTACGCATGCAGCCATTGCACCAGTATCTCTGAGAACTTAACATTTTTGAATCATTTGCAACATAGAGATTTTAAAGAATTATGAGCACAGAGCTTGAAGGTAAGAATTCTAGATTCCACGAAAGTTTTTAAGCTGAAACCCACTACCAGCAGCGGGCATTCTAGCAGAATATTAGCAATACAGAAACCCCCAGAAAACGAGCTTCAGGCATGCAGACACCATTATACATGTGAATTTTTATATTTACCGTCATTTTCTTTTTTACTATCTGGATTTGGTCCCTTTCGTTCTGTAAATATAAACAAAAGGTTTAGATTTTACGTGTCTAAAGGACAGTCATAATTGACCGCCCTTTTGTCAATTAATCATGCAAAATTACAAATCATTTATTACATGCACACAGTGCTATGCTCTGGCACTCATTCTGTTTGCAAGACACAGCTCAGGGTGGTGTCAACTTCAGCCCTGGGTGCTCAGCACTTCTGGAAAATGAGCCCAGCGCACTTATGAAATCTGGTTTAATCAACTTGCCCACCACCACCCAATACTCAGCATATAATTTCAAAGTAGCATTCAGCTGTATTTTCATGGAACCAACTATCTTTTCCTCAAATCCCAGCCTCATTTACTAAATAGCTTTGTGATTCTCTTAGCAAACAAGACAGAAGTTCTGTAAATACTATCCTAAATTGTCACTACGCAACTCATACCACTGAAGCAGGAACCTGTGCAGATGAAAACACCACACAAGTCAAATTAGCGCTCCAAAGGAACCTTGGCAGGTGAAAGCTTTCCAAAAAAATCAGCATCAGTAACCTCTGTCTAGGACAGCTCTCTGAAGAAGTCAGTAACCAGCGGCATGTCTCAACCCCACATCAAGATACTTAAGGTAACTCTGATCTGGAGTTGCAGTAATGCACACAGGGACAACCACCCCATCCTAATAATGACCGGTACTGCAGCTTGGCCCCAATGATCACCTGAGTGGCGCTGTAACAATTAGACACAGCAGATTACTCAGAAAGAGTTTGGTAAGCTATGAAGTGGTTTTATACTGCTCAGAGTAGATATACTTTACATGACTTGGAAGCCTGAGAATCAGTTCATCCTGTGGGACAGATAAAATCTTTGCGAACACAAGGCAGACCCTCTTCTGGCCCACCCCTGGGCTTCCTGACCACAAGAACTAGAAGAAACTGAGACTATGTCACAGAAGACCTGAAAATAACACCTGGACGACTTTAAGAACTATATTTGTGGTGAATTTTGAAATAATTACCACATTCACATCTCAGTTTTAAAACCCATCTTTCTTAGCATAACAGTAAATATCATCCAAGGTTTTACCTCTGGAACAGTTTTACCTCTTAATTATCTGGGGGTTTTGGCAGAGACAGAACACATTGCTTTTGAACTGGAAGGTATGCTCTGAAGTTTCAGATACCAGTACAATAGGTGTTACAAGCCAGACCATGTTAACCAGCTTGTGAGCCAGCGTTTATCAGGAGCTCTGGTAGCCACAGGATCAGTATGAAGCACAACCTACTATCTTACCATTGCTGTCACTACCATCGCTGCCTCCTTTTGGTAAATTGCCATCAAGTAGTTCTGAATCTTCAAAGTAGCCTATAGGAAATAAAAATAGTATTATCTTATATATTTTAAGTTCAGTGAAAAGACACCTCAAGGCACATAGTGACGTGGAAGTTTTCTCTAGATTGTACAGCTCAGTTCGTGGTGGTTTTAGGCTCAGCTTCACAGTCACAACATGTTCACGTTTCAAAAGCCCTCCCAGTCTCAAGTCCCTTCAGCTCGGCACTATACAGTTTGAGAGCAGCACTGCTGCCTCTGGAATTCCTGAACAACTGAGAGAAGTCAGTGTCCAAGAGCAGGCCATACTGCACAAGCCATAGGCTAAGCGAGCAAGAAGCTCTGTGAGCTCCTTAGCTGGAACAGCCCAAGGCTCACTATCCTGTGAAAGCAGAGGAAGGACATGGACGGGAAAGGACTGTTTCTTTTGAAGGCTACAGCTGTGAATGTTCCTTCAGAGTTGGGTTTCTAACTCACAACCTGTCTTCTGAACCTGTACAACACAGTAGCTAGAGGAAAAAAATAAGAGAGTTCAACATACCACGGTCCAGTGGCTGCAGTGTTTCCATGACAATGGGAAGATCCATATATAATTCCCTCCTCCGTTGTACTGCAGGACATTGAACTAGTTCCTCTCTGTTTCCACTGGACCCTACCTCATGGGGCCCAAGTTCTCCTCCTTCCCTCTCCTGCCACATGATTCTTTAGTTTAGGCAAAGCAAATTTGTTTCAGGCAGTAAAACTAAAAGCACTGCATCAGAGGTTGTTTTACTTGGGTGCAAAAGCACTGTACTGAGGCATGCAAGACCTGAATTCAAGTATCTGCTGCAAATCAGGCAGCAGAAGGAACAAGAACCAGAGCTCGCATTCCAGGTAAAAATTCTTTACCACCACATTCATGGATAATGGCATCATCACAGCTGCATCTACCTGGATCGGTTCTGTTCTGATTTAGGCAAAGACAGAAAAGTCCTTCCCTGCCTATTGTGCTTTAGAGGTCATGTATTTCCAGCCTACCTTTCAAATACAAAAAATTGCATTGCTGAACTGGGCCTTTAAAAAAAAAAAAACAATACTAAAAAATATAACCCTTTAACTCTGAGCTTTACCTTTAACTTAGATGCTTTAAGAATACAGATCACAGGTAGCTCCTACTCACTTTTCAGCACAACTAGCAGGGACTCAGTTTGTAAAGATGAAAGGACCCAGTCCAATACACAGCTGTTCCACCACAGGCAGCCAAGAATAGCATTGCCCCAAGCACACACACTGTTCCATCCTTCCTCCTCCCCACACCATCCCCGTTTCAAGGGAAAGGAAAGTTACTCAACAGGTTTGGTATGGAATTTCAAGACTGCTGCAAACAAAGCTTATTTGCAAGACCATTTTTCCTCACTCCTCAGTGTTTATCCAGTGTGACAACTGACATACATAGCAGCCAATTAACAAGAGTAATTACTAGAAGTTTAAATGAGATAGTAAAATCATGTCAGGATTCAGGAGTTTGTGCTCAAAGCCTTACCAGTGTCTCCAGGATGTGCAGGTGGGCCCGGCTTGGGGTTATCTACACACAAGAGATTTAGAAGAAAGAAGAAAAAGGTTAAGCTATCAAAAGCAGACTACAATACAGCAACTTTAAAAGGGACTAGGAAAGATTAACAAATACTTTCCTACTGTTCAGAAATTCCTGTTAGGTCAATCTTACCAGTATCTCTAGGATTTGTAGGCGGACCTGGCTTGGGGACATCTGTAGACGAAGAGTTAGACTAAAGTAAGCAAAGTTACTAGTGTGAAGAGACCAAAAGCAGAAGACATAGTGACCCTGAAAGACTATCTGACCTAAAACATGGTATCAAATCTTTCCCATGTCATTCTCCTTTTGTTTCATTAGCTAATGCTCTATTTGGTTATTTTAGGTTAAACACTGTATTTTAATGTGATTAACAGTGTTTCTGCTACTGTTTCTGCCTGTATGTCAGACTCTTGCTGTAAGTGAATTCCTCTTGCTCAGTTAATGCTCAGTTAAGCGTTATGCAGCATTTTAGTTTGTACATCTGATTTCAAATGCTGGACTTCTTCAATTTTTTTTTCTACCAGGTACAGATTACTTGGCTCTTTCCTCTTTTAAAACTATCATATTTTAACCAATAATAAAGGTTGGTACCTCACTTAAAAAAAAAGAAAAAGACAACATGCACACAAAAGAACCAGAAATATGGGCCCCACAATGACACTTCATTTATCGTGCCACAAAATGGGACAGTAAGAGATCTTACTAATTATCTCTGTACTGTTCAGTCACAGTCTTTGTTGCCCACATCAAATTAACACACCAGCAGTGGTTTTCTAAAACTGTTTTCACCAACAGCTGAACCCATCTAGCTGCCCATTTCTTCTGTATGCTACTTCTTGATGTTGCGTGGTCTTGCCTCCTCCCAGCTGTAGCACAAGTCAGGCCTCCTTAGGCTGTCTGTATACTCGAAGTAAAGAGGCAGGTACCTCAAGAGCACAGTTCTAAGTCCCCAACTCAGGCTTGCCATCCTATAAAGGATCCTGTCTCTTCACCTACCTGAACCATCTGATTTATTCAGCCAACTGTTTCTCAATTAGCCAACTCTGTCTTCAAAAATGTCAGCAGCTGGAAACACGCTGCTTTAAGAGAGACGAAACTTCAAAGGGCTAAATCACGCAGAGCAGCAAACAGTGCTGCTGTTCTACACCCATATGCCCTGTGGTGGGAAAGCTGTCTGTACTGCAACAGGTTTAGTGATGCTACTTGAACAGCTACTGTGCATTATGTGCCTACCTGGATGCACCTTTTGCTGAGTGAGTGAACACAATACTGCAATTTCTACCACTGCCCACACTGGAGAGCTGAAGCATGTCAGAAAGAGTACCTTCCCTCACACTATTTCAAACATATTGTTTCCTTGTGCTACTAGAATTACTTCCTGGAAAGGAAGAGATTTCTTCAGATTTAAAATCTACTTCCATACGTAAGTGTATGGAGTTAGTGCCATCTAGTGAAGACACAGCAATGAAACAAGTAGGACTTGGCTAAGGAATACGTGAAACATATACAGTTTTGGTGATCCACACACCCTTAAAAATGAAGGTAAAGATACATAACTAGACTGCAATTATTTTAATCTGCAGTCTGTTACCTTAATCAACCCAGTGCCTTTATTACATTTGGATAATAAAGGATGGATAGATATTGCACCATGTACCAATGAGCCGTATCCAGGAAAACATGATACTTACCAGGTTGAACAGCAGGTTTAAGGGTCCTATCTACAAAGAAAGGAGGAAAGTTTTAAATGTAATGCAAAAAATGCACTTGTTTTAGACTATCTGTACCCAAAATGCACCTCACAATGTTTTCACCAAGAATATAATGGCATGCTCATTCAACAGCAGCCCATGGAAGAGCACCACAGAGTTACTAGGCGTTATCTGCCAAACTACATCCTGCTTTTGGTCATCACGGTATATACCAAAGGCCACCTCAAGGTGAGCAAGCTCAAAATGTGCAGATCAAAAGCCAACAGAAGGGATTCTCACAGCGTCTTTAAGCTTATGAAATCACAAAGTAAATTGCTGAAAGCAGTAGCAGAAGACTCTAAAAGGCAGAAATCCTTTGGCTATTAGGGAACTGCTTTATTTTGTAGAAATATAACAATTTTGTGCCACTAAATTGAAAAATTCAGGCTCTCAAATTAGTATGTACAACTACACTTGACTTCAGAGTAGAAGGCATTACAAGCCAATCAGATCTCACCGTGATCTGATGGTGATGGCGTCTGAGGTGGTGGAGGCTTCTTTGTAGTTTCTGTAAGGGATAGTTAGGGAAAAAAAAAAGTTTAAACACTATTTAATACACTGTTCAGAAGACACATGACGGACAAACCTAAGCCTAGGTCTATACAATGAAAAGCATAAGATCAAGTCGATATAGCACAACATTTTCCCCTTAGGAGGAATCCCTGAGTGTTCCTAAAGACAAATTTCAGTTGTATGCGGTTAACATTTTGACATACGCATGGCTGAATTGTTCCACTGAAGTTTAAATAAATCATATGTAGGGAAGGCATCATGCTTATCATGCAGTGATACTTGGAAACAAACAAGTAAAAAGAGCAGCCACTATTTTCCCACCCACCTCCCAAAATTTGCAAGAGTGTAATAGTTACCTAATGCATCTTCTAAGCTAAAGTCATCACCATTGCCTGTAAAAGATGAAAGCAAATGTAAGAACACTGGGTTTTGTTACTCAAAACCAACACTTCTTACAGTCATAAATGTCTTTGATCTATATTGAAGTACATTTTCTGCTTCCTCCATCAGCCGAGAAGTGTATTTTGAGTCAGAACTGCAGACATTCCTCTCTATTTGTCCAGACCACTACATACACATCAAGGAGGGGGGGGGGATGAACAGCATAAAAACTGTCTCTATAGAAAGGATCTGGAGGGCCAGAACATATATTCCTACAGTCAGTATAATGCATTTAATCCTTTATTCTTGCCACCACCACTGCATGCTTCCTTAGTGCTATCCACGGCATATTCTTTCCCTCCCTTCTTTCCACTGAGCCACAAAATGAGCAGGGGCACAGCTCTAGTTCACAAGACTCAAGTGTGAAGAAGAGCCTTGGAGCACAAAAGCCAGTATGAAATTTGTATGACTGGGTAATGGATTTAACAACTTGGCATTACAAAATAATTTTCATGGGTTTATAAGACTTCTCTTTTCCTCCAACAACGGTTAAGATTATGAAGGTGGTTATTAGCACAGATGATCTTAAGCTGTCTCTTCAACTTCCTAGAAGACAGCTAAATGCAGCTGTCACCACTGTGGTTTCTCCACCCAAGGTAGAGCAAGTTTCACTGTCAGCCCTTAGGAAAAAATATTCTCTCTTGCTGTATTAGGTCAGCTGATAGAGCTACTGCAGCTTACCCAGCCAACTGCAAAACACACTCATTCAATAAATTCATGATACAAACTGGTTTCATAGCATGAATATGGTAGTGTGATCTCAGCAGCAGAGGCCTGCAAGGTAAACGTACAGCTAAAACAACTGCTTGGGATATTTCTGATAGTTCAACATTCCTACTTTCACTGAAGCATGGAAAGAGACATGGAAGTAGCTACTAACTATTCAAGAAAACGACATCAAAATATATTGCTCCAGCCCCAGAGAAGCTGGAAGACTTTTTATACCTACTGAGTATCAAGCAAGCCAGAGCAAAGCTTATTTCCAGACAGAGCTACCTTAATTCAGAAGACGCACACATAAAACATTGACGTGTCTGGCTTTTCCTCTAAGAACGTAGCTACAGAAGAGGAATTAGAACTGGCTGCTGCAAAGCCTGAAACAGGAATAAAACTCAAACATCAAAAATCAAACCACAAGCAGAATGTTCCTTCTGCTTACATGACAGGCCAAGTTAAGACAAGGACAAGTCACAAGTCTGCAACCGGGAAGACAGATGCTCGAATACCTGGTAGCATCTTTCATCGCAACTGAGGTCAAAACTGAAAGCTCTCTTTCTTCTCAGATAACTGCACTCATCAATGCCATTTTTCTTTTTCCAGAGAAGAAATGAGGCTAAGGTACAGTTTTATTTTTTTTTAATATGGAAGCAAGGAATGACAACTGGAATAAAATAATCAAAGGCAAGCTTGCAGTTTCCTGAAAACATCCTTCAAGCTAGTCTTCATTCTGGCCAACTGAACTGCTACAGTGGAAACTGAAATCTGAAGTGAAAGTAGCAATTCCCATTCTGTAACATTTGACCCGAGTACCACCTTGCCCACAGCCAAGTAGGGGGTAGTACGGCCTGGTCTGCAACAGGCCCCTTCACAGAAACAGGCAATTCATGGCTTTATTGTGGTGCATGAGAAAAGTGCGTTTAGAACCCCCCTGGATAAAGTGATTAGGTACCAATCTTGGATAGAAAGCAAGAACATATTTTACTTGGCGTTCTTCACTCCAGGTGGAGACCAAAACCTCTTTTAGATACTCAGTTCATGAAAAATGGTTTCACAGAATGCGAAATATTTGCAGGTTGTTTACCTGAAGCCTACATCATCTTGCAGTACAATCAAACACGTCAGTAAAATGAGAATTTGCTAAGACCCAAATCTCAGTTACCTCTTTGTTTAGACTACACAAAGAAACCTCCCCATTAACTGGCAAAAAAGGTCAAAATACTCAAAAGAAATTTAAACAAGTATTTGCGTAGTTGTTCTTCAAACTTGAATTTTGGTTGATTTGTTTTCTCAAGTACATACATCCCTCAGGCTACAGTGCTTCAGGGAAGAATGCCTAAGACAGGACCTGATCACATATTTGCTAGTCTAACTCTAAGGCAGGCAGAAGGAACTGTTCAAGGGGCATGCTCCTCAAAACACTCAACTGGAGTAGCAACCAGAGGAATAGACCACCACCATCTGTCAACACAATCTGTCTCAAGTCAATGAATGCTACACTGGTGGGTATACTTCTAGAGGGCTATTTCCTTTCAGAAGTAGAGGAAGAGAGAAAAAGCAAGCACTCATGCTTTGGTTCAGCTGAAGTTTTACCTGGAGCAAAAAGAGGCTATGTGAAGAGTCTCCCACAACCACCATGAAACTTAGTCCAAGAACTCTGAATGGTTCCAGCTGCAGCGGTTTCCCTCAAGAGGAGGAAGCCAATGTTAAAAAGAGTGTGCATTCTGGGACAATGCTGTTTTAAGGGATTGTTTTCGCACATGGTCTTCAGGAAAAACTAATTTAGGATGAGACTGCTAACATCCAACTGAACATAAGACAGCGCAATAAACAAATCTGCGACTTAATGAAAGAAAAAAATCATTCTATATTGTCTGGAATTATTCAATATTCTGCAACCACAGTTCTGTTTTCCAAGCATGCAGCACGACATCAGGCTCTTCAAACACATTACCTTATCTCAATAACGGTAGCAGAAAATATTATAAAACTCATTACAATAACTTAACTGCTGGCACAAAGACTGGGTGTTCATGGCAAACCTTCGTATGTCTCCAAAGCACTTGCTTTTACAACTGTGCTCGCTCAGCTTTTAGTATGGGTTGGTCCAACTAAACCAGAAGTTAAATTACTTGGTCTGAAAGGACAGAGGCTTAGTATCAGGGATTCAGTTTGTTGCAGGGAAGAAACAATCAGACAGAGAGAAATAAAGCTGCAGAACTAGAATAAAGTTAGTAGCAGATCTAAGAAGAAAAAGTCAGCAAGAATATGCTGCACCCCCTACAGGTTTAAGCACCAGGGTAACCAAGCTTATGAGCATTTTCTTAGTCTAAGCAAAGATAATTGCAAATAAACCACATATTGTATTGCATATAAAGCACAGTACAGCAGGTATTTCTACCTCCCAGGAGCACGACCCAATTCAAGAACATTTCAGAAGTGCCTACACTATTTTTGTTCCATGCCCGTAGCTCAAATACCAGGACCTCAAGAGACAGATCTTCAGCAGGCTGTCCCCAATAACCTGCACACTTTGCGCCATATGGGGGGAAAAAACAGCAGATAAAACAAAAAAGCAAACATAAGCTTCTGAAAAGCTGATGAACCACAGGGTATTCAAGAGAACCAAATAACTACACAAATAGGAGTCCTTTGCAAAGACCCATCACTGCTCTCAGATACTTATTTCTACAATATTAGATTAGTCATATTCACATTCCACTGCAGAAGCCGACACGAGCTTTGTCAAGTTCCTCCATTAGTCACACATATGGCGACACACCAAGACAGGAGACTTGCGATGAATCACCACAAACGTAACCTTCTGACTTGAGCAACAGACTGCTTGAATTTTGTTTTTCTAGAAATGCTGGTGCTCTCCTTCCCTCCCTCCCCAGCGACCTGTGCACCACCAGGCATCACAGAGCCTGTATGCTGCAGCTGGTCTTCCAGTTGTAAAGCCTACAGACCCACTGACAGTGGCCAACTTGACCCTGTCCTGCTGCTGGACATTACCTGCCACTCAATCAGTGGCCAACCAACTTCCAATTGTAGAATCATAGAATATATTGAGTTGGAAGGGACCCATAAGGATCATCAAGCCCAACTCCTTGCTCCTCGCAGGGTTACCTGAAACTTAACCATATGAGTAGGAGTGTCACCACGTGCTCCTTGACCTCTGACAGGCGTGGGGCCGTGACCGCTTCCCTGGGGAGCCTGTTCCAGTGACAGACCACCCTCTCAGTGAAGAGCCTTTTCCTCATGTCCAACCTGCACTTCCTCTGGCACAGCTTCGCTCCATTACCTGGTGTCCTATCGCTGGTCACCAGAGAGGAGATCAGCACCTCTCTCTCCACTGCCTCCCTTGGGGAAGCTGTGGACAGGGACGAGGTCACCCCTCAGGCTTCTCGAGTCCATGCTGAACAAACCATGTGACCTTGGCCAGTCCTCACAAGTCCTGCCCTCGAGGCCTTTCACCATCTTGGTCACCCTCCTCTGAACACACTCCTCTAGTAGTTTCTTAAACTCATAGAACCATTTACGTTGAAAAAGACCCTTATGATCATCGAGTTCAACCATTTAATGCCCTTATATTGAGGCAACCAAAATTCGAGTACTCGAGATGGGGCCGCACCAGTGCGGTGCAGGCTGGGACAATCACCTCCCTCGACCGTCCATCAGTCAAAAAGCAAAGATAACTTATTACATCTGGGGAGTATCTGCTTTCTGCACATCTGGAGCGTTCACTAACGTATCTGATGGGAATAAACTCAGTTAAGCCCCCGCTGCAATGAATAAAAAGGCTTATTTCTTCAAAAAGATGAGTAACACTTCCCT